GTAGACTTCTTCTTCCTCCTCCTCTTCTTGTATGGTAACAGAAGGGTGATCTGGAGCAGGCTGTGCCCAAGATCGCTCAAGATCATCGACGCTCTTCTTAAGGCTCAGGAGGATCTCCTCTGTTTCACGATAGGCCTGGACACAATGATCCATCCTGGAGCATGTTCTATCACAGTCTCGAGCAAACTGCTCCATGAGAAGTCTCAATTCATAGTGTGGATCTGGCTGTGGAGTGTAGCATGGCTCTGCAGAATGGCCCGTGAAGGCCGCCATGGGTAACTCCAGCTCCAATGGCCCCTCTGGTTGTGGGAAAAATTCTTCTTGGTAATGAGGTTGTTCTTGATATGCCCAGGGATCCGGTTGTTCTCCGTAGTAAGGGGGTTGATACTGGAACTCGAATCCATAGTCTTCTCCGCCTTGATTGCTCCACAGAGTCTCGGGGTAATACCACCCAGATGGTGGTGGATACCCCCAATGATTGGAGAAGCCATTAGGATCCATGATTCAGATCTGCACCAACAAAAACAAAAACACCCAAGTGAAAAGCAAGGGTGGAAAAGAAAAGAAACGAAAAACGCTAAAGTAACAAACTTCTGCCTTTCCTAATACTCTAGAAAGTCCCCGGCAACGGCGCCAAAAACTTGACTCGCTATGACACAACACCTAACAATGGCCAAGTGTAACCAATGGAAGGGACTGCGGTATAGTGGCTCAAGTGATAAATATCGAATCCACGGGTCTCTAGAGTTACTATTACTCAGCTTCAGTTTATTATTTAGCAAACCAGATCAAGATGAAAGAACTAAAACTACTCTAGCAAACTACAGTTAAGTTAATCTAATTACAGGTTGGGAACTCACTTAGGTATGATTCCCCCTAGCCACTAGCCAGATTAACGATTGATGATCTCTAACCTGTTTCACTTTCATTCACAATGCGGAGAATCCTTGACTAGACCTTGAGTCTCGACTAAAGGAACAAGGCCCTCTTGAGTCAATTGCCTAGAGGGACGTATCCTTCTCTAGAACAACTGATCAAGGCGTTCTGAACTAGACTCCCTCTATCGAAAGGGGTTCTCAATCGATACAAAGCAGTGAATCAACCCTCGACTAAAGCAATCGATCCACTACTATCAATCTATGGTGCTCTATTGACCTAATCAGGTATTCCCTCTCATAGAATCAAAGCAGAATCAATAATCTCGACTAAAGCAGAATTGAATCATGAAAACATGCATAGATTGAATATGAACTCAAGATTATCAAGTCAGAGTACTCATACAATCATCCAATCAAACAAACATAGCTAGGGTTCCTCAAAACCTAAGTGAAGGGAAGTTACTCCATAGAGAAGAGAGAGACTGCAGTAAGAATCTTCAGATGATCAGTCTTCAAGTCCGGGCTTGTTCCTCGAGCTTCCAAGGCAAAGAAATCCTCCAATTCCACTCCAAGAATGCCCTCAAATCGCCCTTTCTCTCTTTGGTTCGTCCCTTGGGTGTTTGGGATCCAAAACCCAGCTCTCCTCTTCTCCTTTGGCTGAAAATCGGCTTAAAAGCATCAGTGGCCAAAGCACGGTCGACGGCACGGCCGTGCTTTGCCTGACTCCGCCCTTGCCTCGGCCAGGGCTTAATTACATGGCCAGCAAGTGGGTTAAACACGGCCGTGCTTCGCAATGTACACGGCCGTGCTTTGACTGAACACGGCCGTGCTTCGGTGCCCGTGTTTGCAGCTGAATTGGCTAAACTGAATTTGCTCTCGGCATAAAAAGCACGGCCAGCAGTACACGGCCGTGTAATGCCTTAGGCTGCCCGTGTTTTGGCTCCAGCTCACCGAAATGACTTTCGAATGCCCCGAAACTCGTGCTTAGCCTTCCCTTTGACACCTGGGACCTGAAACATGACAAAATAGCACAACCCGACGTAAAATAGGCCAAAAGTACACGACTATGCCCCTCAAACGGATAAGAACTAGGGGCGCAAACATGTGCAATTACATCGTTATCAAACTCCCCCACACTTAACCGTTTGCTTGTCCCCAAGCAAAACTAACTCAAACCAATGCAACTCTCCAGACCTCTATAGCAACAAACAACCCAGATCGTAGGTAGAGGACTTCCTAGATCATTTAGCAGCTTACGAGGTCAACCGACGCACAAGTCATCTCATAGCTTCTTCGGCGAGAACACTAGTATCGAGTCGGCATCATGGCAAAAAAGTGAACAGAGGACAAATGAATCGTGGATGGAGAGATTCTAAAAAACAAAGGATCATGGACTCACATTTTTCAAGGTGCTCGATTTTCTTTGAAGATGGTTGGAACGCCTTTTTTTTCTGTTTTGCTTGTTTTCTGTTATTTTTCTTTTCTTTTCTTTTCAAGGGTCCCAACCTGCTCTTACCGGCCATGCCAGGAGCGGATGTCTCGAGCCTCGTGCGGGGGAAAGACATGTAAGGGGGCTGGAGGTAGTAGGTGGAAATTGGGAACGGATTCCCGTCTCCCCTTACACACTTTCGCCCTATTCGCACGGGAGACGTTATTTGAAGCACATTTTCGAGCACCTGTTAAACTTAAAACATGATACAAGAGTCCATGACAGGTAGAAAATCCACAACACCACACAATTCAAGGGTCCTAAGATCACTAATTCACTCAATCAACCAACACAATATGAAGAAGAAATGAGACTTCTTAAATGCATCAACATCCTCCATAGTACTACACTACCTCCCTAGGTTGCATATTACTATAAAGACTGTCAATTCAAAGCATACTGAGCAGGCAATTGCAAGGAACACGTACTTGGAGCCCTCAAATTTTAAAATTTGGACAGTGGACTAGGCTCCAAGCACACAAACAGCCAAACATTCACCCGCATACATAATCGAACATCCCCCCACACTTAAGCACGACATTGTCCTCAATGGAGGAAAGATAAGGAGGGTAGAACGAAGTTACCAGATCAAGGGTGAATGATGATGAACGGGTCAGGCGGTGCCATCCAGAAAGAGAGAGTAATCAGAACACAAACACCACACAAAATCTCACAAAGGTTGAGTTATTGACTCTAAAATCAAATAGCAAACTGACTCAACCGAGGAGAAATAGAGACAGAAATGCAAACCGACTGGTTGGGTTGCCTCCCAACAAGCGCTTCTTTCACGTCGTGAGCCGGACGATGGCTCCTAAGTTTCGGTCCATGCTAGAACCTCCTTGAAGTTGAGGTTCTCGTCGATGAGGTGGAGTCTCAAGTCACGAGCATGTGGTGTGGCAGGTGATGAAGGCTCATGTACTTGATGCGGATGAAGTCTCCACCCTCGAGACATCTCCTTCTCTTCTCTCGTCTCATTGCCCCAAACCAGATATGACAGCATCGATTGGCCACCATCGCGTCCACCAAGAGGGACCGATGTCGAGGTGGCCTTGGTCTGGCAAAGAGACACTGCAAATGGGTCCTTGCTAAGCAGTTCCTCGAAGTTTGGTGGAGATATCACATGTAACTCATGGCCAGTGCAGGCCTCTTCCACCTTAACTCCGTCCTCAGCCTGGACGCCAATTGCTTCTTCAACCCCCCTTTCTTCTTCATGTGGTATCACCCCTGGGAAATGATCAAGAACTCCTCCTGCTTCACTTTCGTCATCCTCCACAACTTCTTTCTGCACCCTTTGTTGCTCTTCTTCTTCTATCACGGATTGGAGAGCAAGTTGCCAAGCAATTTCTTTCATGAGATCTTCTTGCAACTCCTCACTCATGCCCGCCTCTTCAAAGCGCAGTTTGGGGTGTGGGAAGGTGTGGTCGGCTACGACAGGACACTCCTGATCATGATCATCACGGGAGCTCTCCGTGACAACTTCAGTGTGCTCCACAATGTCCTTGTAGACTTCTTCTTCCTCCTCCTCTTCTTGTATGGTAACAGAAGGGTGATCTGGAGCAGGCTGTGCCCAAGATCGCTCAAGATCATCGACGCTCTTCTTAAGGCTCAGGAGGATCTCCTCTGTTTCACGATAGGCCTGGACACAATGATCCATCCTGGAGCATGTTCTATCACAGTCTCGAGCAAACTGCTCCATGAGAAGTCTCAATTCATAGTGTGGATCTGGCTGTGGAGTGTAGCATGGCTCTGCAGAATGGCCCGTGAAGGCCGCCATGGGTAACTCCAGCTCCAATGGCCCCTCTGGTTGTAGGAAAAATTCTTCTTGGTAATGAGGTTGTTCTTGATATGCCCAGGGATCCGGTTGTTCTCCGTAGTAAGGGGGTTGATACTGGAACCCGAATCCATAGTCTTCTCCGCCTTGATTGCTCCACAGAGTCTCGGGGTAATACCACCCAGATGGTGGTGGATACCCCCAATGATTGGAGAAGCCATTAGGATCCATGATTCAGATCTGCACCAACAAAAACAAAAACACCCAAGTGAAAAGCAAGGGTGGAAAAGAAAAGAAACGAAAAACGCTAAAGTAACAAACTTCTGCCTTTCCTAATACTCTAGAAAGTCCCCGGCAACGGCGCCAAAAACTTGACTCGCTATGACACAACACCTAACAATGGCCAAGTGTAACCAATGGAAGGGACTGCAGTATAGTGGCTCAAGTGATAAATATCGAATCCACGGGTCTCTAGAGTTACTATTACTCAGCTTCAGTTTATTATTTAGCAAACCAGATCAAGATGAAAGAACTAAAACTACTCTAGCAAACTACAGTTAAGTTAATCTAATTACAGGTTGGGAACTCACTTAGGTATGATTCCCCCTAGCCACTAGCCAGATTAACGATTGATGATCTCTAACCTGTTTCACTTTCATTCACAATGCGGAGAATCCTTGACTAGACCTTGAGTCTCGACTAAAGGAACAAGGCCCTCTTGAGTCAATTGCCTAGAGGGACGTATCCTTCTCTAGAACAACTGATCAAGGCGTTCTGAACTAGACTCCCTCTATCGAAAGGGGTTCTCAATCGATACAAAGCAGTGAATCAACCCTCGACTAAAGCAATCGATCCACTACTATCAATCTATGGTGCTCTATTGACCTAATCAGGTATTCCCTCTCATAGAATCAAAGCAGAATCAATAATCTCGACTAAAGCAGAATTGAATCATGAAAACATGCATAGATTGAATATGAACTCAAGATTATCAAGTCAGAGTACTCATACAATCATCCAATCAAACAAACATAGCTAGGGTTCCTCAAAACCTAAGTGAAGGGAAGTTACTCCATAGAGAAGAGAGAGACTGCAGTAAGAATCTTCAGATGATCAGTCTTCAAGTCCGGGCTTGTTCCTCGAGCTTCCAAGGCAAAGAAATCCTCCAATTCCACTCCAAGAATGTCCTCAAATCGCCCTCTCTCTCTTTGGTTCGTCCCTTGGGTGTTTGGGATCCAAAACCCAACTCTCCTCTTCTCCTTTGGCTGAAAATCGGCTTAAAAGCATCAGTGGCCAAAGCACGGTCGACGGCACGGCCGTGCTTTGCCTGAATCCGCCCGTGCCTCGGCCAGGGCTTAATTACACGGCCAGCAAGTGGGTTAAACACGGCCGTGCTTCGCAATGTACACGGCCGTGCTTTGACTGAACACAGCCGTGCTTCGGTGCCCGTGTTTGTAGCTGAATTGGCCAAACTGAATTTGCTCTCGGCATAAAAAGCACGGCCAGCAGTACACGGCCGTGTAATGCCTTAGGCTGCCCGTGTTTTGGCTCCAGCTCATCGAAATGACTTCCGAATGCCCCGAAACTCGTGCTTAGCCTTCCCTTTGACACCTGGGACCTGAAACATGACAAAATAGCACAACCCGACGTAAAATAGGCCAAAAGTACACGACTATGCCCCTCAAACGGATAAGAACTAGGGGCGCAAACATGTGCAATTACATCGTTATCACTTAGCGTGAGTAGTCATCCCCTTGGGTAACTGCTTGCCCACCAGATAATTGGCAAGACCAGAAAACCAAGAAGTGACACTCTCCAATCTCCACCAAGCATAATGCCAGAAGTCGTTCGTCCAGGAAGGAGTCGTTGATCTCCTCCACGAAGTTGTCCACCTGAAAGGCTTCCAACCGTGAAAGGTGATCTACTGCAACATTTTCTGCTCCCTTCTTATCACAGATCTCTATATCGAACTCCTGTAGAAGTAGAATCTAGTGGATGAGTCTCGGCTTGGCGTCAACCTTTGTCATCAAGTAGCGGATGGTCGAGTGGTCGGTATATACCACGACATGAGAAAGCACCAAATAAGGTCAGAACTTGTCGAAGGCATACACCACGGCTAGCAGCTCCTTTTCGGTGGTGGTGTAGTTCTCCTGAGCATCGTTCAAGGTCTTCGACGCGTAGTAGATAGGCTGCAAATGCTTATCGCGTCGGTGACCAAGAACAGATCCAACCGCATATTCACTCGCATCACACATTAGCTCAAAAGGTAGAGACCAATCTGGAGCCATCATGATGGGTGCATGGGTAAGCTTCTCCTTCAAAGTCGCATGTTTTTGCCTATATTTGGACGAATCATAACCGTCGATTATTGTTTCTAATTAAATTGATCTTGGGGTATAAGATTTAGAGAATCAAGACCTAGATTTTGATCTTTAAGGGTTAAAGTATAGTATCATGTCCGAAAGATTAGTCAATTCAAGTTCTGGATAGCGTTTTCTTACTCAAGGTAGGCGGTACCCCGAATTTCACTCTGGGTATCGTAAAACTCCCCTTCTGTTAGGAATATATTAGAATCAATATATAATTATAGTACTATTAATGGTTTCTACTTATAATAATTTTATTTATTAGACAACGGTTCGTTAATGAGTTTATAGCGGCTTAGTACCGGTTAAACCAGTAAAGTGCAAACCACTTACTATACCGGTTCAGTTTTGACAACATTTGTTTTAGATGTTTTGCTAGAAATAATATGTTGGGGGTATGATTAAGAAAGGAAGCCCAAATTCAGGCCCAATAAGATACCATAAGGCTCAAATAGTCTCCATCATAGGGCGGACTGCTGGGAAAGCCCATCGGGCCGAGCCCAAGCAAGCATGAATGGTGGATCCTGAAGATGAAGCTTAGAAGAGTCCAAGGAAGTACAGATTGTCGGCCGTCCCCCGGGGTAGGCGCCTATTATGTGTCAGAAGACTGACACGTCGGCGCGCCTAACTAGACAAAAGTACGAAGCATTTAATGATATACTGACGTGGAGTTGGTTTGAAGGAACCTAGTCCAGGGCTGGGTAAGTATAAATAGTACTGATAGGTAACATTAAAGGGGGTTGGATTCTCTCACTAAAAGATAGGGCGGAGCACTTCTCTCTCTAGGATACATACTAACTTGAGCGTTAGAGAATTAATGTGTCGGGGACGCCCCCCTTTGTGTGCCTTGTGTGTATCCATGTAGGTGAGATGTACAAATGAGAAAATGAGGAGCGTTGGTGGAGGGAATCGGGCTTCCGGATATCAAGGCTCAAACATAATACATATAAAATAACTCTTCACCCAAATGAGAAAATATAACCTCCAATTTTGAAAATAATACACAAATACCACATTGCCAATTTATGAGTTATTTCAACCTACAAATCTCTCCTAACCGAAAAACTCATCCAAACCTATTTTGCTATTATCCGCACGTATGCAAGAACTCAGCCGCGGGCCTGTCTTTCCACGGCCCAGCTCAGCCTAAATCACTCGGCCCACGAAAGCCCATTCACAACCCGCCGTTTGCCCTTGGCGGCCAAATACCCGTCGCATCCCGAAAAATCCCCCAAAAATTTCAAAAAATTTCACTCCGCTCTGGCACGAACGGGAAAACAAACTCGTCGCTTCACCATCGTTTTGTTGAAGCTTTTCTCCATCCATTTTTGTCGGCTATTCCCGCTTCGCCAACCAGTTGTGCCAGTGCCACGGCGCTGACAAAACCTTCTTGAAATTACGATTCTAATTATGGAAAGGAACTTAATCAACAGCCGGAGTTCCCCTTCCACCTCCTCCGCCGGCGCTGGTTCCCGTCACGCCGCGTCTGCGAGATCCGCCGCTTCGCCTCTCCAACCTAACTACAGTAGCCTGGCGGTTCAAGTAAGCAGCTCCTTTTTTCCTCTCTACGCTTGCTTGTAGCTTGAATTGACTTTAGAGCATTTCGGGGGTACTCGAAAGCCCTAAACCCTTTGTTTTGTTCACTCTTCGTTAGGGTTTAGTGATATTAAATTGGAATTTGCTTCGGATACCGTTGAGCAATTCGTGTTGATGTCGGTAGAATTGCTCGAGTCTAAATCCCAGTGTTTTAGTGTTCATGTTTAAACTGCGAGGTACTGGGGAGGTGCGGCTTCCCAGCGGATATTATGTTTGTCTTGGTAAGAGTAAGGAAGGTGAACATTTTGATATAGTGGTGGGTTGAAATTTTTCTTTCTATTTCTATAATACTTTCAGAAATGGAGCTTGAGAATTATGGAAACAATGACCTCGATTCGGTTATATAAGCATGACATGATCACCATATACTGGTGATTGCACATATTCGTTCAATTATAGTTTTTCTCTTTTAGTTGGTTCTTGCTGTGAATACGATTGAGTGTTGAAGCGGGAAATTTAGGGAATCCAATTCGTGTCGTTTGCTGTTGATACAATTCAGTCAATGTTGAATGACTTTGTCGAGTCTGAATTCCAGAATGTTGATGTGTTCCTGTTTAAACTTTTGAGGTTCTGAGTGAAATGCTACCTCTTGGTGCTGTAGCAGATATTATGCTGCTTTAGCAAAATAGGGAAAGTGACTTCAATGTTGTATTTCGCCGGGTTGCGCTTTCCCCCCCTTCTTTCTATCAGGTATGCAGCATTGGAGCTAGAGAATCTATGAAAGGATTACCACTTCAGGCATGCTCTCCATCTCCTGGTGGATGTATTCATGCTGTAGAGTCTTATGAATCTGTTTACGTGGAAATGTGATCAGAGAAAAGCAGTTTTCCGTACTAGTATCTGAAAGGCTTCCTTGCTCTGTTCTTGAATGACTATGAAGCTTTGTCCAAGTTTATTGTGATTCAGTGCACCTTAGTCGACCGTGTATTCTATTTCTCGCCACACATCCTTTTTGGTTCTTAGTTTTGAATTCTGTTTTTTCTTACTTGTATGGAGAGTGCACGAACTAAATATATATTTTTAATTTTGTTCCAAGTAGCTATTGTTTATTCGAGTTTCAAATCTCTTTCTAGGAATTGGGATTCATTATTTGCCTGTGCTTGAAAATGTTGTAGCTCCAATGATCTCACAAACTAGTGCTAGGCTACAAAGTAGTCTAATTCTGGCTGTTATTATTTCAGAAAGCATTGGAACATCTGGCATCAATTGATTTAATTGAGCTGTGCAGTGAAGCAAAAGTCGAGCGCTGTCGGGCGACCAGAGATTTGAGGAGTTGTGGCCGTTATGTGCAGCATGTCTTGGTGTCATGTGGGCATGCTTCCTTATGCAAAGAGTGTAGTCAAAGATGCGACTCCTGCCCAATTTGCAGAATTCCGATCCCAAAGAATGACTGTAGACTTCGTCCTCGACTTTACTGCGAGTGCATAGAGGCCGGTCTCATCTCCAAAAGATGCGATGAGAGATTCCAAGAGAAAGAAGAGGGCGACGATCAATTGACTGCAGATGTGCTGCGCCTCTATGCTTTGTTTGATGTTGCTATGGAGAACAACTTGGTCTCATTGATTTGCCACTGTATCCTTCTCTGTCTCAGTGTGCTTCTGTTTGTTGGAATCGAAATTATTTTTTTCCATTTACTCAAGTGCTTAAGTTATACCTCATTGGTATTGCTGCTAAATATCTTCAGTTTGCATTTCTTGTAGTTTGTTTGCTTCTCTCGTGAGATATAAAAATCACGAAATTAAAAGATATCCTTGACAGAGCTGCAGATGTTACTGATGTTTGCATGGATGAGACTGCTGTGTCGAGTGATCCAGTCATTGCTTTCTTGTTGGATGAAGTAGTTGTGAAGGACTGGTGCAAAAGAACATTTCGGAATATCATTGAAGAGCTTCTTCCAATATGTATCCTTCTTACTCTTTAGGCTTTTCTGTTGAAACTTGTATTGCTTTTTCTTTGCTTGCACAATGACTGGTCTGTTGCTCAGTACCTCATTAAGTGATGCTCTGTCAGATGATTCTGGGGAAGAAGACATGGGTGAAAAGATAGTTTTGCTTCTCAAGCTTTCATCCAACCTGGGTGGGATATCCAATGTGCTAGAAGTTCTGGATTCATCATTTCAAGGAAGCTCTTCAGCCCAGCTCAATGACTTGCAGTTTCTGCACGAAAGTGTCTCAAAAGCAAAGCAGGTCTGTTAACTTACTAGTTTGGCTTGCTTTTATACACTCCAATCTGCAGGCTCTGTATTAGTCAAGTTGAACTCACATCTATGCAATTCTTAAAACATGTCATTCCTTTAGATATCATTCATTGTTCTTTATAAGTAGGAATCATTCTGATATTTTTTTGGTTGACCCATTCGTTTGATCGAGTTGGAGGAGGGCTTTGTTTACATTCCCAGTCCGTGATAGCCCAGATCTTGTTTTGAGTTCCTCTGTTACTGTTCATTGACATATTATTGACCACTTTGTAGCCCTTTTTTTCAGCATGCTGACATTATGGCCTGGTGTATACGGAATGAATTTCTGGAAAATGTAAGGGCTCGATATGGAAATTTAGCCTCATGGCGCTCTGTTGCAAGGGAAAGGAAGGCTGCTGCAATAAAGCGTTCATGGCCTGACGTGGTGAATCATTCTGCTGAGTCGAGTGTGAAGGCAGGTTCTCTCTTCATTGAAGATGCTTTATCAAATATTGAGATTCATCAAGGTCATCCACAGCACATGGAAGAAGAACTGGGACTTGCATCTTTGCAGAAGGATAGAGATTCACTTTTCAGGTCTAAACTAGAGGGACTGGCAGTATGCTATCCTTTTGAAAGCCTCCGTGCTGCTGTTGACATGCTCTTCTTAACCGGAAGTTCTGACATGGTGGTTGCGAAGGAGGCGATTGTATCCTTTTATGCATTATGCATATGTGTATATGTGTTTCAGTGTGTATATATTGCATGTTGATGCTTGATTCTATACATTTTCATTCTTCTTTTCCTTAATGAAGGTATAGTTTCTTTACTACATTTTCGACAGGCATTGGACAACACCGGATGACAATTGGAGAAGTATCATAGATGACTTTGCAGCTACATTTGGAATAACCAGACATTCCTTGATAGAATCATTAACTTTTTATCTTCTAGACGATGATACTGATGAAGCTCTAAAGGTCAGGACTTACATGTTTGCTTCATCTCTCATTCCTTTCCTAATCACGAATATGGTGACATAACTGTCTGCTTTCAGTTGCGCGGCAAAGATTTTGGATATTGTTTTTTACCCCTTCTTTCTTTGTTTCTGGCTGCCAGACAGAGTAGTTCAGGTTGCACCTGAGATTTTTATTTACACTTTTGTTTGTTTTCATTCCGAATGGTGTTGTAGACGTTTGCTTTTGGGCCATTAAATATTTTCATTCAACCAATAATCTTTATTAGTGCGCATGTATTAAGGGTAACAGTGAACTGAAGTGAAACCCTTCAATATTAATTGCAACAATCTTCAAACCTTTAAATCCTATGCAATAATTACCAGCAATCCTTCTTTTACTGTGTGTGTCATGTGCTGACTGTTGAATGTGCTCATTGCTTCAGGAAGCTTGTAACCTTCTTCCTGAGATCTGTGGTCCATCAACTCATCCCAAAATTGCCCAAGTATTGCTGGAACGAGGAGTTCCTGAAACAGCTTTAATGGTGCTTCGGTGGTCTGGGCATGATGGATCAGAAATCGTGTCACTTAGTGAGGCTGTTACTGCTGTCAGGGTCAGGGTGGAATGTGGACTTCTGACTGAAGCCTTCATGTATCAGAGAATGCTATGTGCCAAAGTTAGGGAGAAGAACTCAAAGAGAGGACCACCAAAGGATAGTCCTAATCATTTAGAAGCCAAAACCAACAGATGGGGTGACTGGCTGGAGACTTTGGTAACCGAAATTTGTTGTCTCTGCATAAAAAGGAATTTGGTGGATCGGATGATTGAACTGCCATGGAATTCGGATGAAGAGAAGTATTTGAGTAAGTGTCTTCTTGATTGTGCCATCCATGACCCTTCAACGACTACTGGAAATCTTCTTGTAGTGTACTATCTTCAGGTAAGTCTCTGTAGTCTGCTCTCCCTTCTCTCTTTTTTTTCTTTCCATTTTCTGACAGGGGATCAAGGTACCACTTTAGATACCATTTGACAGAACTCAAATCAGTGGGAGGTGTTCAAATAACAAAAAATAAGTGGGAGGTGATATATAAAACATAGATTGTAAATGATTGATAAGGAACACAAAAAGAAAAAGAAAAAAGCAAATAATCTTTTTATATCTTAGTGCTTAGAGCATACTGTCATTTCAAATCCAATACTTCAATTATATAAGAGCATTTGGTCTGTGGTGAATTCTATTATTGCAGCGATATCGTTACACTGAGGCATATGAAATTGATACGAAGCTTCAGAATGCGGAGCAGGATTTTCTCTCGATGAATTCTATTGATGAAAGAGTTCTTTCGAGAATGAGATCAGCAAGTCACTGGAGGGCCACACTTGTTGTAAGTTCTGTTAAAGCTTGTGTAAAATTTTCTGATCACGGCACATAACAGTAAGCTTTTCAACAACATAGAGTTGGTCAGCTAAATATGTTTTTATCTTGCAATGAATTGCTGTTTGAAATCGGCTTGCTAAATTAATCTATGTTTTGAACAGGGAAAATCTATGCAGCTGCTGCCCCCGATTCAACAGCAACTGGTTAAGGATGGTCTTCATAGAATCAGTGGCTCTAGTAATGGTGAAGAGATCAATTTACCAGTAAATTCCAACACTCCAGTAGAAGAAAACCCAACTAATTCAAGGAGTATTGTGGTTCCGTCAAATACACAGTCTTCTAGTTCGATTGTTCTGCCATCAGAAAAGCCTAATCATCCATTCAAGTCATCTCTTCAAACTCCGACAGCACTAGGTGGATCGACAACTGTCAATCTCTGGTTTGATCAAGGCAATTATGGCACTCCTGTGGGGTTGAAGAATCACCACCAAGGCAGTAGCCTCAGCAGGAACCTGAAATTTGACGATGTCTCAACTCCTGCAATAGAGTCGAACAGATCTTCAAACAGACACCTGCATCACTACTATCAACACGATAGTTACCCCGAAATGGAAACAAATGGATTTCTCAACCAATCAAGCGAGACTCCTCTCTTCTCTGCTGCGAATCAGAAATTGGGGTCGAGCAAGAAGCATGGTTTCGATGCGACGTCCGGAACTGATCCCATGGATGTTGCTATGAGGTGAACAGTTTTAGCTTTTAAACCAATCTTTTATTTACAATTAGTTCTCTCTTCGACAAACCAAAAACATTCCCTTTGTTAGTTTGTTCCATGGATTAACCCCAGTTATCTTTTGAATTATTTCAGTGGTGGCGTGAAGGCTTCTTTGATCGATGAGAAGAGTTTAAATGGCGGGCCGAGATGGAGGTCAGATGAAACCAGCGATGAAGACGGCGAAGAAGAGAGTCCCGGTATAGCTGCCGCTACTGGTTTCACAGTCTCTCGGAGGAGTAGTAGGAGAGTTAGGATTGGCAGGCGATGATGAACAAGATCCTCAATGCCGGCGGTGCTAGTCTTTTTTTACCAAAGACCAATACAAAACCAAACCAAACCAGTATTGTTCATATTTTGTTCGGCGGCGAAATGGGAAAAATTTGAATTAGATTTTGGTTTGGATTCCATCCCTTCTCCTCGTCTCAATTTTGTATGTTGTAGCTTCTTCAAATACATCCTCCCAGTGTTATATCATCCGATATTGATAGAACTCGGAGAATTAGGTTCTATCTAGGGATTGTGATTGGTGAAAGATCAACTAAGTTGATCTCGGGATGAACAGAAGATGAGGAAAGAGGATTTGGGTTGGGCGAATGGAAGGAGGGAAGAGGGAGGCTGTCCGCGCGATTGGCCTTGGGGAAGAGGAAGGGGAATCTCGATAGAGGGGAAAAGGGAGAGAGAGTTGACAATTAGGATTTAGGTTTATGCTTGTTTAGGGATCTAATCCCACGTACAAGTAGTTTATATAAAAAGGGATAATTCCCTACTGCTATCCGACTTATAAAATATTCCCCAATTTCCGAAATAGTCCCAATAATCTGAAATAGCGATAAACCGACAATTAATTAAAGTACTAAAATGCAAGTTTCTATCATATATCCATAAATAACTCTTGACAGCTGAAATCTTTAGATTTCAGCATGGTAAAGGAAACCGGATCGTACCGGCCGGTTGAACCGGTAAAACCGGAAACCGGAGCACGGACGACACGGTAGGCTGTTTGTAGGCAGAATATCTTCCCTTTCCTTTGGCTGAAAATCGAGTTTTAAACAGAAATTCCCGATCACGCGGCCAGGCCACACGGCCGTGTGGCTTTCCCAGTTGCCCGTGTGAAGGCTGGGTGATTTCCACACGGCCACGACCCACACGGCCGTGTGGAGTTCCAAGATGCCCGTGTGGCTTGCTCAGCCTCTGTTTAATGCTTCGTTTCTCCCTCGTCCGGACTCCGAATCAATCCCCGTTTGATCCCAGACGCTCGTAGTCTCGTCCTCTTTCTTTTCATGACAAGCTTGCATGATTAATTATCCATAAAGTGAGGTAGAAATCCATTCTTCTTCAGGTCATGCCCGAGTTTCTACTCCTGAATCGTCAATTGATCTCTGATTGATTTGAAACTTGCGCCTATGCTTCACTTTATGTGCTAGGACCTGAAATGTGACAAAGGAACACAACCTAGCATAAAATAGGACAAAGACGCAATAATTCAAGCTCAAACAATCAAGAAACAAAGGGGAAAACATGTGCAAATACCGAGTCATCAAATCCCCCCACACTTAACTGTTTGCTTGTCCCCAAGCAAACCTAACTCAAACCAATGCAGCTCTCCAGACCTCTATAGCAACAAACAACCCCGATCGTCGGTAGAGGATTTCCTAGATCATATAGCAGCTTACAAGGTCAACTGGTCTTCTAAGACGTCCCCTATCTCTCTCAATGCGAGTACTAGACTCAAGCCAGGAACATGAGAAGAAGTAGAAGTAAGACAGTCAGTTCATGGAAAAAGGGACTCACACCATTCACAACCAAGGACTCGTGGTACCGGGGTGCTCTTTCACTTCATTTCACCGTTGGAACCCCTTTTTGCACTTTCATTTACATTTCTTTTTCTCTTTTTTTCTTCATTCACTTGGCGGGGGTTCCAACTGCAGTCTTTTGCACGGTCGACCCTTATTAGTCAAGCAAGAGCAATTTTTGTACATCTAGCGCTCGCCAGAGTACTTCTTTTAACTCCTTTTCCTCAACTCGTGTGGAGGGTCAATGAAATCAAGGGGGGTCGGAAGCTCTATCCGTGCCCTTAAAAACACATCCTCAAGTAGGCAAACCGTTCAACGGGTGAAAATTTTACTTGTACTAGAGACAACTTAGCTTCACCTTGTAGGAGTACCCCACTAAGGATCACTAAAATCTCTTCCAAAACCCGATTTTGTGCAATGAACGGTGCCACACACGTTGGGCTTACCCAATGTTTAAGATTTCAATGATTTCGACATGGAGGACCAACTGCTTCCCATTTTCCATATGAGCACCCTGTTCGATACACGAGTCGATAACACATCCAAACAGAGTCACCATTACCACATGAATTCAACGGTCTTAGCTCCACTACTTCACAAAATCAACTGGCACAACAGAGAGCTAGATAGGAAAAATCTTATACTTCAACATCCTCCATAGTGCTACACTACCTCCCTAGGTTGCACATTACTATAGAAAAGTCGATTCAAAGCATACTGAGCAGGCAATTTGCAAGGAAACACGTACTTGGATCCCTCAAATTTAAAAATTTGGACAGTGGACTAGGCTCCAAGCACACAAACAGCCAAACATTCACCTGCATACATAATCGAACACCCCCCACACTTAAGCACGACATTGTCCTCAATGGAGCAAAGATAAGGAGGGTAGAACGAAGTTACCAGATCAAGGGTGAATGATGATGGACGGGTCAGGCGGTGCATTCCAGGAAGAGAGAGTAATCAGAACGCAAACACCACACAAAATCTCACAAAGGTTGAGTTATTGACTCTAAAATCAAATAACAAAACTGACTCAACCGAGGAGAAATAGAGAAAGAAATGCAAACCGATTGGTTGGGTTGCCTCCCAACAAGCGCTTCTTTCACGTCGTGAGCCAGATGATGGCTCCTAAGTTTCGGTCCATGCTAGAACCTCCTTGAAGTTGAGGTTCTCGTCAATGAGGTGGAGTTGCAAGTCACGAGCATGTGGTATGACTGGTGATGGAAGCTGGTGCACTTGATGCAGATGAAGTCTCCATCCTCGAGACCTCTTCTTCTCTTCTCTCGTCTCATTGCCCCAAACCATATATGACAACATCGATTGACCACCATCGCGTCCACCAAGAGGGGCCGATGTCGATGTGGCCTTGGTCTGGCAAAGAGACACTGCAAATGGGTCCTTGCTAAGTAGTTCCTCGAAGTTTGGTGGGTATATTACTTGTATTATAGGGCCGGTGCAAGCCTCTTCCACCTCAACTTCATCCTCAGCCTGGACACCAATTACTTTTTCAACCTCCCTTTCTTCTTCATCTGGTATCACCCCTGGGAAATGATCAAGAACTCCTTCTGCTTCACTTTCGTCATCCTCCACAACTTCTTTCTGCACCCTTTCTTGCTCTTCTTCTTCTAGCACGGATTGGAGAGCAAGCTGCCAAGCAATTTCTTTCATGAGATCTTCTTACAACTCCTCACTCATGCCCGCCTCTTCAAAGCTCAGTTTGGGATGTGGGAAGGTGTGGTCGGCTATGACAGGACATTCCTGATCATGATCATCACGGGAGCTCTCCGTGACAACTTTAGTGTGCTCCACAATGTCCTTGTAGCCTTCTTCTTCCTCCTCCTCTTCTAGTATGGTAGCAGAAGGGTGATTGGGAGCAGGTTGTGCACAAGATCGCTCAAGATCATCGACGTTCTTCTTAAGGCTCAGGATGATCTCCTCTGTTTCACGATAGGCCTGGACACAATGATCCATCATGAAGCATGTTCTCTCACTATCTCGAGCAAACTGTTCCATGAGAAGACTCAATTCATAGTTTGGATCTGGCTGTGGAGTGTAGCATGGCTCTGCAGAATGGCTCGTGAAGGCCGCCATGGGTAACTCCAGTGCCGATGGCCCTTCTGGTTGTGGGAGAAATTCTTCTTGGTAATGAGGTTGTTCTTGATATGCCCAGGGGTCCGGTTGTTCTCCGTAGTAAGGGGTTGGTACTGGAACCCGAATCCATAGTCTTCTCCTCCTTGATTGCTCCAGGGAGTCTCAAGGTAATACCACTCGGGTGGTGGTGGATACCCCCAATTGTTGGAGAAGCCATGAAGATCCATGATTCAGATCTACACCCACAAAAATAAAAACACCCAAGTGAAAAGCAAGGGTGGAAAAGAAAAGAAAAACGCTAAAGTAACAAACTTCTGCCTTTCCTAATAATCTAGAAAGTCCCCGGCAACGGCGCCAAAAACTTGACACGCTAAAACACAACACCTAACAATGGCCAAGTGTAACCAATAAAAGGGACTGCAGTATAGTGGCACAAGTAATAAATGTCGAATCCACGGGTCTCTAAAGTTACTATTACTCAGCTTCAGTTCATTATCTAGCAAACTAGATTAAGGATTGATTTATAAACTACTCTACTGACTACTCTACTAATTACAAGTTGTGAACTCACTTAGGTATGATTCCCCCTAGCTCCTCAATTAGGTCCAAGTTGCAATTACCTTTGGTTGATCTACTGTTGATTAAACTGCGGAAGATCCGACAGTAGCTTGGAATCTCTTAAGCTGACCAAGCCCTCTCAGTCCAACTACCCGACAGGCAACTAACCGTCACCGGGATAGAAAGCTGAGGCTATGAACACAGAACTCCACTACCGGAATTGGATTCCAGTACAAAGCAGTAGATTGACTAACTCTCGTATAACCAATTCACCACCATCAATCAAGGAAGCTCTCTTAACCTAATCAGATTCTATCTATCATAGGTTAAAGCAGAAATCAAGAGAATTTGATCAAGATTCAATTGACTCAATAAGTGCCTCAATCGATTATAATCAAACAATATAGCATCCAAAACTTCATACAAGAAAGATCCTAACACATTGAACTAGGGTTCCTCAAAACCTAAGTGAAGGGAAGTTACTCCATAGAGAAGAGAGAGACTGCAGAAATCTGATCTAGATCTTCAATCTCCATATCCAAGCTTGATTCCCGAGCTCCAATGGCGAAGAAATCCTCCAAAATAGCTCCAAGAATGTTCCCAAGTCGCTCTCTCTCTAGGGTTCGTCCGTTGGGTGTTTGGGAACCTAAAACCCAGCCCTCCCCTTTCCTTTGGCTGAAAATCGAGTTTTAAACAGAAGTTCCCGATCACGCGGCCAGGCCACACGGCCTCGTGGCTTTCCCAGCTGCCCGTGTGAAGGCTCGGTGATTTCCACACGGCCACGACCCACACGGCCGTGTGGAGTTCCAGGATGCCCGTGTGGCTTGATCAGCCTCTGTTTAATGCTTCGTTTCTCCCTCGTCCAGACTCCGAATCAGTCCCTGTTTGAGCCCAGACGCTCGTAGTCTCGTCCTCTTTGTTTTCATGACAAGCTTGCATGATTATTTGTCCATAAAGTGAGGTAGAAATCCATTCTTCTTCAGGTCATGCCCGAGTTTCTTCTCCTGAATCGTCAATTGATCTCTGATTGATTTGAAACTTGCGCCTATGCTTCACTTTATGTGCTAGGACCTAAAATGTGACAAAGACGCAATAATTCAAGCTCAAACAATCAAGAAACAAAGGGGAAAACATGTGCAAATACCGAGTCATCAATCACCTATCGGCATAATGCAAATGGATCCATTCATGCATTTAAAAGCTATGTGAATGGGGTAGAGATGCGCATCAGCAAGAATGTGTTGGCACAAGTACTAGAGGCTCCAAACGAGGGGAAGAGAATCAATTCTTACACTGCTTGGAATGAAACTCATTTCTCGAGAGCCAAGCAAATCCAGACGGTATGTGGTCTTGATGAAGAGGAAGATGCTCAGGGACGCAGTAGGCCAATGAGTAACCACCTGACAGTTCAAGCCAGAGTTCTTCACCACATGCTCTCCTACAACATTCTTCCAAAGGGTGGACATCGAGAGACAGTCACCTACTTCGACATGGAGCTCCTCACCAACCTACTGTTAGACGAGAAGGTGAACTTACCATACTTGATCTTTAACCACATGCTTATTGGTGCAGAGAGTTCAAACATGAATCTTCCCTATGGGATGATCCTCACTTTGCTATTTGAGTATTTTAATGTGAATTTAAGTGGTGAGGTGGGGCTAAAGATCTCAAGGCAGGAGTTCTATACAGTTTCATCTCTGAAAAAGATGGGCTTTGAGCTGCGTAATGGTGAGTATGTCTGAATCAATGCTCATGGTGCCCATGGTGGTGATGATGATGATGAGGATGATGATGGTGATGAAGGAGCTGGAGACGAGCCAATGTCGGAGGCACAGATTTCAACTCCACCGATCACCATAGAGCGTGTGTGGGAGCGCATGGATGACATGTACGACTACATGGGCCAGATGTCCACCCAGATGACTGGCATGTACGACTACATGGGGCAAATGACCGCCCAGATGAGCACAATGCAGGTGACCGTGAATGAGATGCGAGATGAGTGACGATCTTTCAACGGAAGATATATGC